AAGCCCCTCCTGGTTCCCTCGTTAATTTGAGCACGGCTGGTTTCTAACACGAGGGGTCTGGGTTTTGCCGGGTTTTCACAGGGTTTATCTGAAGGCTCCTGAGGTTGTTGGCGCTGCGCTGTTCATGCTGTCAGCAGCAGTCCCGGCACCCCTAAATTAAGGGGGAGCTCGGCCCCGTTCTGACCCGCTCCTGTCTCCGATCCCCCTCAAACGACCTGGCGGTGTTAAACGCTGAGGCTGCTCACGACTGTCACAAAAGCAGCTGTTTCAGAACAGTACTTTCACCATAAATCCTGTAGAAATACTGCAGGATGAGGGCCTTTGGCTGGGGAAGTCACTCTGGCGTAGCCACAGCGATGAGCACCGTCACGAAGCCAAACGTTGGCAAAGCTTCGCCTTTGCTAGGAGCTCAAGAGAGGGAAATCACATGAAACGTCTTCAGTGTTGAAGAGCTCCCAGGCGACTGAAGCTTCAGCTGTGTTATTTGTGTGGGGTTTTTTCCATGGCTCTGGAATATTTTCTCTCCCCCTGAAAAGCTCCTGCCCTGTTCCTTTGCAGATTGCGCTTGCCAGTTTCTACGAGGACGGGGGTGACGAGGACATCCTGACTCTTCCCCAGCCGACACCCAGCTCTATGTCCAGAGGCACGGCAGCCAGGTGAGGAGGGAGCTTCAGCTCACGCGCAGCCTGATGGGCAGCCTGTAAACGTGACAGCGTCTTGTGGGTTAACCCGGGCCACTCACAGCCCTTGCGGTGGGATGGGGGAGAGAAACGGAAGGGTTCAAGTGAGGGGAAAAAACCCTGGGTTGAGATAAAAGCAGATGAATAGAGAAAGCAAAGTGAGGAATTAATTCACTGTGTGGTGGCGCGAGGAGCGGAAAAGACCTTGACTGTGTAAGCACAGTAAAGAAAACATCCCTGTGTTGTCAGCGCTGTTCTTAGCACACATCCAAAACAGCCCTGCACCAGCTGCTCTGAGGAAAACGAGCTCGGTGCCAAACGCGGCGCGCAGTGTTTGTGTAAAAACACACGCTCTATCTTAACGTGTGTTAATTTTCAGCAGAAGTAGCTCTGCGTTTAGATCTGTTTCACCTCTCTCTAGAAATTGTGAAAGCATCAGCACGTACGCATGGCAAGCGCCTGTGTCGTTGCACAACCGACCCCAAACGTCAGCGAGGACACCTTGCCTCATTGCTCAGGAAAAACCTGATTTGAGGTTAGGAGACGCTCAGTTGGTGACGCTTTCACTGCAGGAGGTTGGATCTCCAAGGGAAAAATGTTGGCTGATTTTGTGGGGTGCCTGATCTGATCAAGCCGAGCATTTCACAAAAAAGAAGTTGGTTTTGCCTTAGTAAATCCCTGTGCAGTAGGGAAATGCTGCCCAGCTTTAAAGAGAAGGAGTTACTGAGTAGGTCCTGAAGGAAAAGTGCTCTCGGTTCAGACTTTGGTGGATAAAGCCCATATTGCAAAGGGAGCCCGTTCCTGTTTGCATCACAGCCTCAGCAGAAACAAGAAGGGAGGGATGTGGAGGCTGGACTGTGCTGGAGCCTGGTGTTAAAATCCAGTATGTGAGCAAGGAAGTGACTGAAGAGTCACAGCTGCTGCTGCGTCTCCAGCCGCTGCTGTGCTCTGTTGGTGCAGCTGGCAGTGAGGTCCAGGAGCCCGGTTCACCACCGCCACACCAGCGCTGATCCCTCATTGCACGGAGCAGTGAGTCAGCCCTGAAAGTAGAGCAGAGCCAGCCTCACTGCTGCGTTCAGGAGCTTCTGCTTGGGTGGTTGTAGATGTGTCACGAGGCTGATGCACTTCTCTGGTTGACTTTTGCAGTGACCATAGGGTAACATCGTTTAGAGACCTTGTGCATGGACAGGAGGATGATGACGAGGAGGAGGAGGGACAGCGGTAAGTTTTCAGTTAAAGAACTAAAACCTGCGTTTACGAAAACCCCTGCCCGTTCGCCTCTTGTGTGCAGGGGTTTTTAAAAAGCAGATTTAAGCTGACACGAAATTCCCGTAGTGGAAGGTCTCAGGTTTGACACAGAAAGGTTGGGCAATGCAGAGTCTGCGCACAGGCTCAGCGTGGTTGGACGATTCACCACTGAATCGTGAGAAAGCCCAAGGTAGGATGTGGAAGCCCGAGGTTAAGAACAGAAAAAAAGCCCAGATCATCATTTGTGTCCACAGAGAATGGAAGTGTGGGCATAAAGCAGGGATTGGTTTTCTTTCTGCTTGGTTTTTGAGTTGTTTTTCGTTGGTTGGGGGTTTGGGTTGGTTTGTTTGCTTTTAAGTGCTGCTTAAGGGTAACGTAATGGAGTGTGGAAGTGGAAAGAGAAATGTAGGTCCCCTTTAGTCGTCAGAGTCAGCTGTGAGTAGTGAAATACCCTCAGGGTTCACATGCAAGGGAAATTGGATGGAACTGATGTATCTTAAGGTGGCTCAGTCTGGGTACACTCTGTGGCCTCCCGCAACCAGATGTGAGCTTGCTCTGTCGGTGTTATGAGCCATCTGGAAGTGAATAAACCCTATCTTCCAGGAGTGCTTAATTGCACTTCACTGACTGCGCAGTCATTGCTTCCAGTCCAGATCCGTCCTGCGTGTGGGGATCTTTGTGTGGCATGAACATGTGCGCCTTCCCCAAAATCCCAGTTAGATGCTGCCTGTCTTCCATCAGATGGGACACAGACTTGCTGGAAGTCTTGTGGTGGTAATACAGCTGGCACCAGTGTCTGAAACCGAGCCTTGTTGGTCTGGACTCAATCTTGCTAGGTCTGAGAGAGCTGTGATCGATTTATTGCTGTTAATCGATGGATAATTTTACAGTAATTGACATAAAAGGGAAGTCTCTGCAGTACAGGAACCTGTAAGTGGCTACAGTAGGAGATACACTGGTAGGAGCTAACTTTTGTACATCCAAGCTGTAGAAATAGAACTGAATCCTGCTGTAAAACTGCTGGGTCCTGTCACGTGTGTCTGCTGGAGGAGCAGCGATCCAGGCTTACCCAGAGCCGTGTGCTTTCTGTTAGGTTTTATGCCGGCGGCTCGGAGAGGAGCGGGCAGCAGATCGTGGGTCCTCCGAGGAAGAAGAGCCCCAACGAGCTGGTGGAGGATCTGTTCAAGGGAGCAAAGGAGCACGGCGCGGTGGCGGTCGACCGGACGGCCAGGAGCGGTGGCGAGACGAGCAAGCCGAAAGTGAGGAACACTGAGTTCTTCTTCTTTCTGTCCCATTTCAGTGAAGGCTTCTGCCATGATGGCTGCTTGGTGCTGTGGAGTCCTGGCCTTATCTTTAAGCACAGCTAAGTCTGGACTCCTCTCTCAGCCCAGCTCCAATTTGTGCGTCACAGTGGCAAGAAAAGCCACTTTCTTGTGCCGTGGTTCCTAATTTGTTACCATGCCTGCAGGACAGTCCATGTTGCTGATGTTGAAGCCCCCCTGCTCATCCCTAACGGTGCTGGGGAAAGGGAAGCAAGCTGTCCTGGCTCTGTGTCATTCTCTAACTCTTTGCCTGCCCCTTTCTCTTGCAGCCTTTCGCAGGGGGAGGGTATCGCCTCGGGGCCACTCCAGAGGAGGAGTCCGCTTATGTGGCAGGAGAGAGGAGACAGAACGCAGCTCAGGATGTGAGTATCTCTGATCTGTTTAGGAGCTGTCACCCGAGGGATTTCCCTGCTATAGCTTCACAGCCTGCGAGCACAGAGAGTTGTAAAGCTTGATAGAAATTCAAAGGGACAGAAGTGTGGTAAATCCTGCTTCTCATGGGATTTCTGATTAGAAAATAGTAGATGCTTGGGTCTTGCGTAAGGCATTTCCTGATGAACTTCTAATTAAGAATCTGAGCCTTCCTTAGAAGTGCAGATTGTGAAAAATAGTGTGCAAAGATAGGCAATTAACTCTTCTTGATCCTCTGAAGAGAAGTGGAGCTAACAGCATAGCACCAATGCAAGATTCTCTCATGCTTGGTTTGTGTCCAAACACATCTAGGCCATGGTGGGAGCTTGGTTTTGGCTCCTCGCCTAGGACACTCCTGGCTCTTCAACCATACTTATCAAAACAGGGTCTGTGGTGCCACCTCTCAGGGACCTTTACACAGCCACTGCTTTAGGTTTTCCCTCATCCCAGAGGAACCTCCAGAAATGTGCAGCTTGAAATTCCCCTGCCAGTCAGGAACTCCTCACTTTGCGTGCACTTACTGTTCTTACAAAAATGCTTCAGTGATGCTGATCGTGGGTTGGGGGCTGCTGCAGGTGCACGTGGTACTGAAGCTCTGGAAGAGTGGATTCAGTCTGGACAGCGGAGAACTGAGGAGCTATCAGGATCCATCCAATGCCCAGTTCCTTGATGATATCCGCAGAGGGTATGTAGCGAGAGCGGAGAGAAACAGCAGCTGCTTTCTGAAACACGAGCGTTTCTGGAATCCAGGGTGCTGAATCAATGGCACATTTCACCTGAGCTTTCTTACAAGAGCTCAGTTCTTAATAGGGAAAGTGGGAGAGGGCACTCAAACGCTTGCTTCAGCTAAATGGAAAGTGGCTTTGGTTTGTGTGGGGCCTGGAGAGTTGGAAGTGAACAAACAGGCTTTCATTTTCGGGCTGAGAATTTCTGATGCATCCAGCGAGAGCCAGGGCACAGTCACCTTTACTCTGTGTCTGTTAGTGGGGCAGTGTGAATCTGCTGTGTTAATTAAGCAAGGGCTTGCTGTGATTCCTGAAATTCCAGGGGTCTGTGGCTGGCACTTTTCTCTCTGTGCTTTCCTGACTTGCTGCCCCAGGCAGCTGCCTCAGGACACTCTCTTTGCAGGGAAGTCCCCGCTGAGCTGCGCAGGTTAGCGCGAGGCGGCCAAGTGAACCTGGATATGGAGGATCACCGTGATGAGGAGTACGTGAAACCCAAGAGTGTCTTCAAAGCTTTCACTGGAGAAGGACAGAAGCTGGGCAGGTGAGACAACCGCAGCGCTGGTTTGTTGTGTGTGCTGTGAGTCAGTCACTTGAGAGCTTTGCTAGGTTGAGCCTTTTGATTCATCTTTCTGTGCCCAGGTAAGGTCTA